GTCGACCATTTCTGGCCGGCAACTTTCAGCATCATTAAGCCGCTGCGCCACTGCGTCCCCTTTTGAAGTAAGTTTAGATGTTTATATATTTGATGCATTTAATTGCTGCTTCCTCCATTTTCCAGTAAATATAAATACTAAAACACAGCATCAGGAAGCGTTTGACTGTGGAACTATGGGGTTAGGTAGTAGTGAAAGAAGAGCCAGTTTGGTGCAGTGGTTAAAGGCACTGGGATAAAAATCCGGAGACGGAGTCCTAGTCCTCCCTTAGGCACGAAGCCAGCTGGGGGACTTTGGGATGGTCCCTCTCTCTCAGCCCTAGGAAGGAGACGGCAATTGGCAAATCACTTCTGAAATCTTGCCAAGAAAAGTGCAGGGATTTGGCCAGGCGTTTGCCAGGAATCCAGATTGACTTGAAGGCACCAAAAAAACAAAAATGGCAAAGGTGCTGGATTAAGATTGGGGAGACCCATGTTCTGGTCCCCTCTCATCCATAGGAGCTTCCTGGGGGGCTCTGGGCCAGCCACTCTGAGCTCCAGAGCAGTGGGGAAGACAGCAGACTGGAAGCAGGGAGATCCAGGTTTCTGGGCCCCTTCGGCCTCCACAGGTCACCCTTGTTCTTGTGGGGAAAAACGGGAGGAGCAGGCATTTTGTAATGATACACTGCTTTAAACTCCAAATGAGAAATGGATGGAGAAATACTGGTGGGGTTCTGATGAGGACGAAAGATGAAGGTATGGCAGTCTCTTCCGTAGCAAAACCAGGGTCAGATATTTTAAACAAGCACGCTAACTGCCTTTATGTGATGCCAGAAGAACAGATGGCCTTAAGAATAATGATCTTTGAATCCGAGGCGAGCCTAGTCAGGTGCAAGAAATTGGGAGCCAGAGCGTTCCCACCAGGCCATAACATTCTATTAGAAGCCAAAGTGACATCAAAGAGACACCAAGCATGTCATGATGTCATCACTCAAGTGGCATGATGTAATTCGTGCAGGGACATCATACATACATGTCATCACTCAGGCTATTCACAGATCTCCAAAGAGGGTGTTCAAAACTCCTCCAGGTCACTGATTTAGTGCAATCAAAGTGTCGTATGTAATGTTGAATCAAAATCAAGCCACCTTCTGGGGTCTTGGAGAAAATGTGGTAATTGTGGAGTCCTTGGTGCTCCCTGAGCTTGGTGGTTTGCTTGCAGATGTTTCATTGCCCAACTAGGTAACATCATCAATGCTAGAAGGGAGTTGGGTTTGCTCCCTGTTTCATGGGGAAATTCTGGTGGGATTCTGATGAGGATTGAAGATGAAGGCATGGCTCTTTCTCCCTTAGCAAAACCAGGATCAGATACTTTAAACAAGTCAACTGCCTTTATGTACCCCCAAAAGAAAAATATACAGTAGCTTGCCCTGTCAGTGTTGGTGGGGGTGTAGTTTCCTTCTTCCTTCTCCTCCAAGGAGGAACCCACACCCACACCAAAACTGGCAGGGTAACCTCCTATATATAAACAGGGAGCAAACCCCACTCTCCCTCGTACTGATGATGTTACCTAGTTGGGTAATGAAACGTCTGCAGGAAAACCACCAAGCTCAGAGACCACCAAGCATGCCACAGTTCAACCCTGTGAACCCTACAGATATTGTCTTCTATTGAAAGTGGTTAATTGGCAGAATATGTAGGTTTCAGTTACGAACTAATGTGTAATTGGAGAAAACAGGTTGGACAATGCATTCAGAGCCTCCCAGCTTCTTCCAGATGCAATTATTACGGACTTAATAATCATTAAGGACTAGAAACATGACTTACTTTCTTTTCATATTCAACACTTGCTTAAAGCTCAGATCATTTATTGAAGAAAATAACTGCCTCTAATGGCCATCACAACAAAAGGCTGCAGACAATGTCACACACCAACACAGAGCCACACAGAAGATATTTTCACGCCATTACACTATTTCTCCTCTAGGACGTCCCACATCTGGACAGACATATGTGTGCAAATGGGAATCGCTCGGTGCAACAGCTTTCATTGGTGTACAGATACGCATCCAGGAGCAGCCGCCCATCCAGGGGCAGAACTTGTTGCAGAGACCGGTTTTCCTCAACAACGGACTCAAGAAAACACAAATATGAATTCTGAGCTTCCCTCTGGAATTAAACAGACTGAACACAGCACGTTCATGACTAAGGTAGCCCAAACACAAGACCAAAGATGGTGGGGAGGAAGTTGAAGCCCCCTCTGAGTACAGAATGTGTACACCATTAAGGGAGCAAAATTATTTAAACCAGTGTTTATCAACCATGGCAACTTTAAGATGTGTGGACTCCAACTCCCAGAATTCCCCAGCCAGCATGGCTGGCTGGGGA